CCCCCGCCGCCGCCGCCGCCGCTGACTCGAGTATAAGCCGAGGGGGGCATTTTTCAGCCCCAAAAATGGGCTGAAAAACTCGGCTTATACTCGAGTATATACGGTAAGTGTGTAGTAGTGTTATATACTAAGACAATTTTGTTTGGAAGATCATTTAAAAGTACCAGAGAAGATCAGAAGGGGGGAAAGAAACCCCTATATGTTCATTTGGAGTCTTTGTTTTTCCTGGTTCTCTCTCCAAAATCTGAACCATTACACCAGGGGTCTTCAAACTTGGCCCTTTTATGACGCGGACTTCAACTCCCAGAATTCCTCAGCCAGACACGCTGGCTGAGGAATTTTGGGAGTTGAAGTCCACAAGTCATAAAAGAGCCAAGTTTGAAGACCTCTGCATTACAACAACTACCATGTGGTGGGATGAAGTATGACAGGTAATAGTCTCCTCAGAAGCTTGTTTTGTTGGTTTCTTCCATCCCAGATCCACCCCAGATTGTTATTACTTTCTGCTCTTGGGTAGAATCCTAGTATTATATTTCTTTTAAATAAGTCTTAAACGTACCATGTAAACTGATCCCTTTTCCCTGTAGAAGGACAAAGCTGACATGAATTTAAATAACTAAATAAATAATACTATCAACTAAAGCTGGCAAAGTAGCACACTTAGCTATCAGCACCACATGCTTCCACACTATCAATTTTAGAAGCATCTTTAGGCTAAAAATTGTATTTTTCAGAAACTGTAATTTTGTCCAATTATAAATGAATCATTGATCAGATTAATTAAATTCCTACTGTGCTTTTCAATGAAAATAATTCTGGGATACAAAATATTCTGCTTCTTCTAGTTCAACGATAAGCTTGTGGGGTCACCACAGTAATTCTAAGTAAACACTTATGGTTTTAGTTTGCTGTGAACTGAGTCAAAACATAAACTACAATAGCATTTTGAAAGTTAGGTTATCTCTTACCTATTTACTAAGTCTACTTTGTTGTGTACTTCAATAATGGATTCAAGTAGATGATTTGGAATATTAAGATTCTGGAGAACTGATAATACAGTTTTCTTCTGGAGGTTGGTTTCCGGATGGCTAATGTCTCTCACATGAACAATTAAATCCTAGCAGCAAATAACACACAAATATTACTCAGTTATTTCATGGGAGAAAATAAAAGCTAGATTTTCTGCAGGCATTACAATACAAGCTTCAAAACTGAAACTAAACAATACCAGAGAAGTGTTAGATGGCTGATATTTAGCATGAATGCTACAAGAAATACCATAAAGTAAAAAGAAATTGTATGGTAAAATTAAATGTTTACTTCAATTTGCCCCAACCCAAACTCACAATTGATGCCAATCAATGAATCCAACATTATTCAAAAGATGTGCTGACAGGTTTCTTACATATATCTACTACCATAGTAACCTAATTGAGGCCAAAATTAGGAAGTTGTTCAGTATTTGTTTTTTGTTAGTCCCAATATACAAACAATCCTCTCATAGTTATTATTTGCATTAGACTAACTAGTAAGGTGTGGTTCAAAGTCAGTTCAAGACAGTATCATGAAGCATTCTATGCTATCTATGTCTAAAGCAGGGGTATCAAACTGCTGGCCCGTGGGCCAGATGCATCATGCCGAAACTGCACCCACCCCATTACCTGTCAAGCCCCATTACCGGCAATGGAAAAAAAGTTGCAATACGAATTTGACATCCCGGTCTAAAAAGAATGATGAACATGATAATTCAGCCTAAATATGTCAATCACTGGATGAAGGCCTTTTCACTGAAAGTTATGGACCATAATCTGCCAAACTGCTCCAGTTTATGTTATAGTTATTTTTCAACTTTCCAGTCAAGGGCTGAGGGATAGTGATTGTTCCAAATTGGCTTCTGTGACTAAACTAAGAATAGAAACTGGGTCTTCTCTCTCCAAGTCCAGCTTCTTAACCATGGCATCATGCCAACCCTCAGGAAGTCAATTATTAGCTACAAAAGTGTGTAGTTTAAACTGATAAAACTGTACTGCAATTCTAGCTTTTCCTATAGGTGTTTGAATAAAAGGTTGAATTCCTTACAGCAACCATACATTATAGAAGGACTGGTATGGCTGCATGAGTCAGAAAGGTAGTTTAAATTAAAGATACTTACTGTCTTTCAAAAGCCCATATTCAGTTCTGCCAAATAATCTTTTACTACTGTTTGTATTATGTACTGGTTTTCTTTCCATTTTCATCTTAAATTAGAAATGGACCTGTTATTCTTTTTTGAATCAATAAAATGAATGAATGAACAAGGAAATATATAACTGCTGTGGTACTTACTGAGCAAGCTACATCTTCTAATGTAGCTGAAAATGAGTCAAGAAGATTGTGGGGCAACTGAGAGAGAAATCCAATGGTATCAATGTATAGAACAGTCAATCGAGATGGCAGGTAGCCAGCATGAGCTGTAATGTCCAATGTGGCAAAAAGTTGATCTCGAGGCTCTAACTTTGCATCCCCTGTGAGGGCCTTGATTAGAGTGGTTTTCCCTAACATAAAGACAGAAGTGATATAAATTGAACAGTTTGCTTCATGTAATCTTTTGCTAAGAGAGATAAATAATGACAATCATAGAAAATTATTACTGAATGCATATATAGTACATCACTCTCTCGTTTCAAGACATACGTTATTTACTTGAAAATGGGGAAATTCCCTCCCAATTTAAAACCTAATTTTTCCTGTACTCTTCTAGATGGAAATGACAGCAAAAGCTACAGCTACAATTTAGAATGTTCATGCCAATTTTTTCAATCAGGAAATTCCCCATCTTATTTTACACAAATTTAAACATTGTTATACAAGGGCATATACATGTTTATGTGAATATCTAGCATGATGATCCTTACCACAATTAGTATAGCCCATTACTGAAACAATTGGAAATTCACATCTCTTGCGTTGTTTTCTGAGTAAGCCTCTATTTTTTTTAAGCTTCCTTAGAGCCTTCCGAATTTTAATTTCTTTTTCTTTTAAGAGGCGAAGCTGAATTTCCATGAAGGTTTCGCCTGTCAAAAATATAGTAATAGAATATTAAGTTTGCTGAATTTTTATTTTTATACCTAATACAGTATAAAAATAAATAATGCAGTAATCATTTGGCACCAATATTTTGGTGCCATTGGTAGCCTGTAATATTTACATTAATCAGAGTAAATGAGCATATGAAATATTAAGTTGTTTTGCAGCAATTCTGCCAATAATAGTTCTGCCAATAATGAAAATAAACATTCTCAAAATCTCAAAAATTATATATTTCTAAAATTTTACACTTTTATTGAAATTCTATCTTATAAATTTTGATTATTAAAATTGAATGTATATTATGGAAATTGGGAATTTTAGAAGGAGTCAAGAACTCAAAGGCTGATAGAATATAATGGTATCTTGGTACTCAATTGTTTTGAAACTCACTGAATTTGGTACTCAAGGCATTTTGACACAAAATTTTTGTTTTGGTATTCATCATTTGTTTGGTACTCAATGTACAAGTTAGAACTTGTTAGTTGCCTTATGACTCACTACATTATTCCTTATGGGAAAAATTATTTGGTACTCATTGTGCTCCTGGAATCAATTAATGAGTGTCAACAGACCACTGTACAATATCATAGAAGATATACATCATATTCCTTAAGGCCAGTTATGCCCTTATCAATGTATCATAGCTATAGCAATCTCTAAACACTAAGGCATTTTTAAAATCAATAATCTATGGAAAGAGTAAAACATATTTTTTATTCCTGTTTGGAATTGTCTGTGGAGAATCCACAGAATCAGATCCAAGCAAATATTTTAATATAGGTTTGCCTAACAGTATAAGAAGAGTTCCATATAAATACATAGTACATGGAAATGACTTCATTTGGAATTGTTTTTTTACGACCATACATGTAGATAGCCAAATACTACAGGATTGAGATATTTTCTTTTCCAATTTATTCATACTACCTGATCCCATAATGTATCTTGAGCCACCTCTCTGTTGATCTAATTGAGCAACGTCATTTCTCACATTGGCTCTGGGAAAAGACAGAAGGAATATTTTAAGCCTTTGAATGGTTCTACTAGTCTATTGAAGGTTTATAATACAGTGATAATACAGACAGTCCTTGAATTACATCTACGACTGAGACCAGAAAATTTGTTGCAAATTGGTATGGCCATTAAGTGAGGTGTCTGATAAATACAACCAATTTTACATTTTTTGACATGATCATTAAGCAAATCACCATCAACATTAAGTGATACATCAAATGATATTAATTTGCAACATTCCTTGTCAGTTTACCTACTGCTTTCACTTGTTGGAAACTCAGTGAGAAGATGGAACCTAGTACCCAAATACTCAAATTATGATGTGACCGCAGAGGTGATGCAATGGTCATAACTTTGAAGATGGGTCATAAGTCACTTTTTTCAACACCAATGTAATTCCAACCATTGTTAAATTAATGGTTGTAATTTGAAGACCATTTGAAGTCCCAACTCGGCTAATATATATATTAAACTCAACTGATTTCAATGAATATAGATTTTCAAACATTCCTAAAGATTTTGCTGCACAAATTGTGGTAAATAAGGGCCTTGTTGCTATTACAATTATCCTATTGATTTCCTATATTTTAATTCAAAGCTTGTTAATTATAAGGCATTTGGAATCCTTGGAAGTACAGCACAGCATCATTTAAGCCAAAGTAATATACAAGCAAATACTATTTAATGCTGGTATATAAAGTAATACATACAGTAAATAATACAATTCTGGTTATGTAACTCTAGTTATTATTAACAATATATATATATTGCAGCCAGTTGACATTCATAGTAAATTAAAATAAATTTGGAATAAAATCTATTTTTGGAGAACACTGACATTCAAATGATGCTTTCGATGTGAGAAATATATTGAGAACTAGTCCAGAAACTGATGTTCTAAGTCAGTGATGGCGAACTTTTTAGAGACTGAGTGCCCAAAAACTGGACCCGCCCCTGCTATGCCCACCCCTCCGCCCCTGCCCCCCCAGCCACCTACCATCTCCATGGCCCGCCGCAGATTGCCCAGGCAGCCCAGCAGCTCAATGGCAGCCACGCCCTCCGTCCGCACCCTACAGCATCATCTGTATGTGATGGGGCACGAGGGCGGAGTCTTGTCCCCGCTGCCCGTCTGCCATATCCTTGGCTGCGCTGCTCTGTGCGGGCCGCGCTTGGGGGCGAATCTCCTCCGGGGGGCTGTTGGTGACGAGGGGGTCGTGGGGGGAGGCAGGGCTGGGGCGACGGCGCGGGTGCCCACAGAGAGGGCTCTGAGTGCTGCCTCTGGCACGCATGCCATAGGTTCGCCATCACTGTTCTAAGTTATTTCAGGATTTCCAAAAGATCTCTATCTCTCTCATACATATACAGCTTCAAACAGAAAGCCACAGCATAAAGCAAAATATTATGTAGTGTAAGGTTTTCCACTCAGCCTCGCAAACCTCTCTGCACTACTCAGAAATTTCAAAGAGTCAAAAGAAACTCCTGAGCCGAGGTCTTCTCCTTCTTATCAACCTCAGAGCCTGGCTCTGAGCCTGGGCTAACCACAGGGAGGGAAACCCCCCCCCCAGCCTTCACTAACATTCTCTTCTCCCCAGCCAACATCCACCACGTCTCCTTCTTACCAACTTTGCTATAACTGTCTATAAACAAATCAGGCTGAACCTTTGTCTGCAATTCTATCACTTCATATTCTAATCAAATTCAACTGTCATGGTTCCGACTAATAAAACACTTCAAAGAACTTCCAGGCATTGTTTTATCCTAAAATCCTTTATTATCAGTGTAACAGACTGACGGCACATCATGGGTGTATGCCAGAATCTGATTTTCTCTTGCTTGCGTCTAACTTTTCTTGCTAAACCCCTCCCTTATTTTGCAGTCATAAGTCAATTAGCCCGGAGGGCAAAGATTCACTTCCGTTCCTTTTCCCGGGCTTTCCTTATAAATCTCCTCCCTTTCTCTGTCATCTGAATTAACTCTAAAAATACCAGACAGTTCTGTATATTTTGTCAAAGCAATAATATCCTATATTAACAGCGTTGACATCCGGCCCCCCTTACAAAAAGGACAGATCCTGTAATGTAAACAAAAGCTTATGTTAATGACTAGTTTTCGGTTTGTTGGGGTATTTCGCAAGAAACCTTTTGACGAGCCTGTCAGCTTTCACCTCACTGGATTTCACCCAGGTGGCTTCAGACAACGTGTATCCCTTCCATTGTACTAGGTACTGCAATTTCCCTTTAAAAATTCTAGGGTCAAGAATACGTTTCACTTCATAGTGGGTCTGTCCCGCAACTACGAGGGGCCCAGGTGCCTTCTTCGGGGGAAGTCTTAAAGTGGAGCCCCAATAAGGTTTCAACAAGCTGCAATGGAAGACTGGGTGAATTCTCCCTAAAAGATTCTACGGTGACCGGATTGATGATCCTTACTATGGGGAAAGGCCCCAAGAATTTTGGTCCCAATTTCTTGCTGGGCAATTTGAGGCGTAAATATTTAGTTGACAAATAAACCTTTTCCCCAACTTGGAATGTTCTTTGGGGAGCCCTCTTTCTATCAGCCTGCTTTTTATAGGTTTCAAAAGTTTTTTTTAAAGCAGTTTTCGTGTTTCTCCAAACTTCTTCCCACCCCCTCACCCATTGGTCAAGTGTCTGGGAAGCGGAGGGCACCTAAGGGTATTCAGGTATTGGGCTGAACTCTTTTCCTGTGGCCACTCTGAAAGGCGTGTAGCCGGTACTGCTGTGCGCAGAATTATTGTACGCCACCTCCGCAAAAGGGAGGAGGTCAGTCCAGTTCATCTGCTGGTAAGAAACGTAGCATCTAAGATATTGCTCCACCATTTTGTTAGCGGATTCTGCAGCCCCATTGGTGGCCGGATGAAAAGCAGATAATAAACCTTGAGATGATCCAATTAATTTAAGAAAACTCCTCCAAACCTTCGCTGTGAACTGCACCCCCCCCTGTCCGAAATTATTCGCTTAGGGGCGCCATGCAGCCAGTAGATATGTTTCAGGAACAATTTGGTCAGTCGTTGTGCAGATGGGAGTCCTTTGCAGGCGATGAAATGAGCCTGCTTCGAGAACAGGTCTATCACAGTCCAGATGACAGTATTTCCTCTACTTTCAGGTAGGTCTACTATAAAGTCCATAGCTATTTCTTCCCAGGGTTGAGAAGGGTCTGCCACCGGCTGCAGTAACCCGGGGGTTTTCCCTGGGATTCTTTTCATTGTGGCACATACAGTACAACTTTTTACATAGTTTTCCACATCCCATTTCAGCCCCGGCCACCAAAATTGCCAGCGGGTGAGGTGTAGGGTTTTCAAATATCCAAAGTGTCCAGCCTGTTTTACATCATGGCTGTGTTTGAGAGCATTAAGACAGAGGGCTTCTGGCAAATATAGTTTCCCCACTTTGTAAGCCAAGCCATCCCTGCATGTTAGGGAGGTTTGATTATCTTTGAACCATTGATCGGTGAGGAGCTCTCATTTTATTTTCTTTACCCCAGGGTCATCAGGATTGGGGACCCTGCGAGGCATATGTTGAGCGGCAGTTTGTGGATTGGGGATAATTGCCTCGTTAACCTCCTCTCGTTCGCTTTTGTATTGGGGTAACCGGGATAGCACATTAGCTAGGAAGTTTTTTCCTCCTGGTATGTAGTTTAGAGTGAAGTTGAAGCAGTTAAAGTACTGTGCCCACCGCACTTGCTTTGGGGACAATTTGCGGGGAGTTTTCAGTGCTTCTAGATTTTTGTGATCTGTCCATACTTCAAATGGCACCTTGCTCCCTTCTAGATAGTGTCGCCAGTTTAATAGCGCCCACCTAATCGCGAAGGCCTCTTTCTCCCAGATTGCCCATCTCTGCTCGCTTTCAGTAAATTTCTTAGAAGTGTAGGCGCAGGGTTGCAGGGCCCCACTTTTGTTCTTTTGCAGTAATACAGCTCCAACTGCCACATCGCTGGCATCGGCTTGAATCACAAAGGGCTCCCCTGGGCAGGGGTGCTTTAGGACCGGTTCAGCAGCAAATAGTCTCTTTAACTTCTCAAAAGCTGCTTGACAGCCCATCGTCCATGCTAGTGGTTGGCCCGGTCGTGGCTTCCCTCCTCCTTTGCCTGTTTTGAGTAGTTCTGTAAGGGGTAGGGCAATCTCGACAAAAGAGAGGATGAATTGACGATAAAAGTTGGCAAAGCCCAGAAAGCTCTGGAGCTGTTTGCGAGTCTTTGGGGGCTGCCATTTGATTATAGCTTTCACCTTGGCTGGATCCATTTCAATACCCTCGTTGGAAATTCTGTAGCCAAGATAATCTAATCAGGTCTGGTGAAATTCACATTTTGACAATTTGGCATAAAGCTTGGCATTCAATAGTTTCTTTAACACTTCTCTCACCAGCTTTATGTGATCAGTCATATTCGTGCTGTATATCAGGATATCATCAAGAGACACCAAAACCCCTTTGTACAAGTGATCATGTAGGACCTCATTAATCAACTGCATAAATACGGCTGGGGCCCCCTGTAGTCCAAATGGCATGACTTTGAACTGATAGCTCCCCATAGGACAGTTGAAGGCAGTTTTCCACTCGTCTCCCTCTTTATTCTCACCCGGTAATATGCCTCTCTCAGGTCTAATTTAGTGAAGACACTCCCCTTAGCCAGATGGGTTAATAAGTCCTTTAGGAGGGGGAGGGGGTATTTAACTCACAGCGTTGAGACCCTTATAGTCTATGCAGAGATGAAGAGACCCATCTTTTTTCTCTTTGAACAACACAGGGGCTCCCACGGTAGATTTGGCCCGTTCGATGACCCCCCTCGCTAGGTTTTTGTTCATGTATCGCTGCATCTCCTCCATTTCGAGGGGGGACATAGCATACATTCTCGGCCATGAGAGTTTGGCTCCTGGTACCAGTTCGATGGAGCAGTCATTGGGTCTGTGAGGGGGTAGGGCATCACATTCTTTTTCACTAAATGCCTCCGCCAGGTCCCGGTATTCATTGGGGATGAGTGGTTCGCCTGGCGGCGGTGAGGCAGCCATGTGCACTTGCTCATTGGGTGGCCTAAGGTGTCCCGCAACATCGGTTGAATCAGTGGGAGGTTTAGGTCCTATAGGTAGTCTCACAGTTCTCATTCCTTTCTCCCACCAGATAAACAGCTTCCATTTGTCCAACCAGGCTAGCCCTAGGATCACAGTCTCAGTCATTTTTGGAGCCACTAGGAAGCGAATAAACTCCCAGTGCGCACCTATTTCTAGGCGTAAGGGCTCAGTTAATTGTGTGACAAGAGTCCCTCCCATCAGGGAGCCATCGGCTTGCTCAAACTTCACAGGTTTGGAAAGCTGTTTTGTCCGTATGCCCATTTTTTCATGGCAAATGACAGACTAATAATGCAGCAGGTGCATCCAGAATCAGTGCATTTAAGTCCATTTGTGCCCCAAACTTAGGGATTATAAGTTTGACGGCCAGTGAAAAAGGCGGGATTTGTCGACTCACCATAGGGTCGTTCTCTCCTTCGTCGTCGCTGTCAAAGGAGGGTAGAGCAGGGGCGGGTCCACCTGGAGTCCCGGCATCCTCTTGTGTGGGGGTGTAATCTGGGTAACAGGTTCTTGCATGACCCGGTTGGATTTTTCTCTCGTTAGCCCTTGGGCAGGTTTCCTTCTTGCCGCTGGTTCCGGTCTGCTCTGCAGTTGGGGGTAGGGGACCGGACAGTTTGCTGCTCGATGTCCCTTCTGTCTGCACTGGAAACACTTAATTGACGGGCCTGCAGGTGGCCTGGGTCTTTCAGCCATTGCAGTAGTCGGAGGGTTTCGTGGGGATGATTGTTGTTCGGGTTGCTCTGGCTGCTGCTCAGATTCAGGTGGGGGAGACTTCTTATAGCGGGTGAGCTGAATGTCTAGCTTCACCGTTGCCTGGTACCATTCTCGCAGCTGATCAGGTACTGCTCGATAGATGCAGGCCTGAGAGAGGTGATCGTCTAATCCCTCAATGAAGTGATGGATTAGGGACTGCTCTGGCCACCCCTCTATTCGACCTGCTATCTTACGAAACTCTCGCACATACTCCAGGGCAGGCCTGCCGGCTTGTTTTATTTTGTGGATTTGTTCTCCTGCTTTAAGAGCAATAGATGGGTCCTCAAATCTTTCTCTCAGCCCTAGGAGGAAAAGGTGGGGGTCCTCCAATTCGGGGGCTTGCTCATTGTATAAATTGTTCAGCCATTCGGACACTTCTCCCTCTAGACTGGACGCAATCACATCCACCATGGCCCCCGGGTCTGGGTAGAGATAGGCCCAGCAATTCAAATGAGAACGCACTTGGTTGAGGAAAAAAACCCAGCTTCTCTGGGTCCCCATCGAAGGTTGCTCTGAAAAGTGGTGCAATTATAGGCTGTTGGGGCCCCCACGGTGGCTGTTGCTGCTGGCCCCATCTTGGCTGCAGATTTATGCCCAGGGGTTGCACGTTTGGGGGCTGTGGCCAATCTCCTTGCTGCTGGCCCCATTCTGGCTGCAGATCTCCTGGATTCTGTACCACCCCAAGCTGTTGGAAGGCCTCTATTAGCTGTGGCAAGTTCAGAAGTAGTGGAACATCTGCCTGCTGGGTTTGCCAGTCTCCCCATTGCTGCAGAGGGCTCAAACTTGGATTCCCTCTCTCTTCAGGGCTGGAGTCCCTGGCAGGGGAAGACAGGGTCTGAAAGGCTTTCTGATTTACAATAGAGGGGCTGCAAGCTTCCCTCTGCAGGAGTGGATTTCTGTCTCTCTCCTCTGGGGTTTGAAATATTTCCAATAGCTCACCCAGGCTTTGAGTGGCAGTTTGTCCATTCTCCGTCCACGACCTGCATTTGTCTGCCAAAATTCATCTTCCCACAGCATGCTGTCTGTTACTTCCCCCTCTGGGATATCAGCAGCTGTTGGGCTGTATTCAACAAACTCCCATTTATCATAATAGATTGTCCTCCTCCTGAACTCTGTTACTCTCACTCTAGCCTAGGAGAAAGAGGTGGAGGGTAATACATCCCCAGTTGTTTGAAAAAGTTTTAGATTCTGGCATGATGTCATGGTTCCGACTAATGAAACACTTCAAAGAACTTCCAGGCATTGTTTTATCCTAAAATCCTTTATTATCAGTGTTAGAGATTGACGGCACATCATGGGTGTATGCCAGAATCTGATTTTCTCTTGCTTGCGTCTAACTTTTCTTGCTAAACCCCTCCCTTATTTTGCAGTCATAAGTCACATCTTCCAATTAGCCCGGAGGGCAAAGATTCACTTTCGTTCCTTTTCCCGGGCTTTCATTATAAATCTCCTCCCTTTCTCTGTGGTCTGAATTAACTCTAAAAATACCAGACAGTTTTGTATATTTTGTCAAAGCAATAATATCCTATATTAACAGCGTTGACATTAACATTCATAAAGAGACAAAAACTTATTTTTCAGTGCGACTTCACAAAAGAAAAAAAACTTAATGAGGGACTCTGAGTTATATATGTATCTGTGTAAAAACTGAAACAAGAGCATCAAACGTTTTTTTTTTTTACAAATCTAAGCAAAACAATTCAGAGTCATTTTCCTTTGGTTGATAATGGATTAACTAGCATTTTTGTTTCAGTGTGTTCCAATGCCAAGTTCTCACTTAGTTACAATTTTTGCTCAACAAGAGTTCTTTGTTCGTCATTGTTATCTCTATTGTCTCTCCCTCCCGAGTAACATCTTATGAGTTCACTTTCCCCCTTTCCTCCCCTTCTTTCCGTTCTTTGAAGCCAGAGTTAAGCAGCGAAAGAGAAAAAAGTTTTAAAATGATCACCCAAACCTCCCCCCTTCTCCTTTTCAGTCTCTCACACTTCCAAAGCAAGAAGAAAGAAAAAAAATATAGCAAGCTGGTAAAGAAGAAGGCTGAACATTTTTTTTTTAAAAAAACAACTGCACAAGGATTTCGGCCCCTTTTGAATTTCTCTCACTTCATTCTTTCAACAAAATAATTTTCTCTTTTTCACATACATTCTCTCCATGAATTTCTCACAACAAAAACAACAAAACCTGCAATTTATTGTTTCTTCCACAGCCTGGGGCTGGGGGCTTGAGGGCTAACACACCCACATTTACATATCAGTAGATTAACTCATTCACTTCCATTCTAACTGCTTGCATAAACAATTTCACATACAGATATTTCATTTCATATTTTCTCCAGGCAAACCATTTATTTTTAAATAAGGCCTTTTTGTTTGTTGTTATCAGAGAGGGTTTTGACCCTCTTCCAAGTCTTGGAATTAAGACAGAACAACTCAGACAGACATATATACACAGATACTATTAAGACAACATTTTTTAGGCATGTGGCTTGTCCTGCAAGAAGTGAGAAAAATCATGAGGTGATTCCAACCAAATATGTGATTTTTATAGGGCCCTCTAACCATCTCTTACTTTTCTCACCATTCCAAGTCCAAGCTTAATGTTCTGGATGGCCAAAAATGTAAAAAAACCCCATATCAACACAAAGCACCACCAGATGCCATCTGACCGGGTTAAACTTAACAGCCACTTGAGGTTTCAAAACATCCCAATTTTTCAAAAAACATTACAAAGGAGTACATTTTGGCTTAATTTCCTTCTTTAAATTACTCTGACGATTCCCCATTCCTGTATTACAAGGTAGTTTCTCGGCCGCTCCTCTTAAAGGCTGGTCGAGGTGATCAACCCCTAACTTATTCCAGGATTACAGAAACTTTTCTACTCACTAAGGCACCTGTTGTAATTTCTCCCGCCAGTGAAATATGAAACCTCATTGAATTCAGGCGTTTGGGTTCCTCGGACACGGATCCTACTGCTGCTGCCGAAGTGCAAATGTGTTCCAGGCCAAACACCTAGGAGCGCTCTAAGACTCACGGTTCAGTCACTGTCGGTTTTGTCCTGCCGAGAATCGAAGGCTCACCGGGACCTTAACAAGGGTCTCTGGTCATGGGGGCCTTTGTGGCCTCTGGCCTATCGAGCCCCATGTTTAGGGTGCCAGGTTATAAGGTTTTCCACTCAGCCTCACAAACTTCTCTGCGCTACTCAGAAATTTCAAAGAGCCAAAAGAAATTCCTGAGCCGAGGTTTCAGCAAGAAAACAACTTTACTTTGGCCAAGACAGAGTTGGGTAACCTTCTCCATCTTTGTAGATGCTTAGAGGGACAAAGGCACACCCAGTAGAGATTTCTTCTACATTTTATACTTTTTCAAAACAAAGAGATCCAAGTCTCTGTACCAGGAGCAAGGAAGCACAGAAAAACAAATTCCAGGATGATGACTCATATACATCAATCCAAGCTAACTCACCTTCCCTCTCCCTATCTCCCAGACCACTGAACCCCACCTTGCTCCTTTCATGTAAGCAATCTCCTATATATTTGACATGAAACACTTGCTTCTATCTATAAGGCTGCTTGCATATAAGAAAATTTATATAAAATAGCTACAAACTAACACCACTAATATCAAGCTTAAGCATAATAAAATCATAAGCACAATATGATATTATAGTTCTACTGAAAAGAGTAGAACTATAATAATCAGGTTTCCATGTTTGAACTAAATTTCCTTATGTGAAACATTGTACAAATGTATAGACATGTAATCTAATGCAAGTAGGCTATGTATTATGTATTATTTTAATTATTACCTGAAAATATATTTTCCATCTCGTTGATATTAATATTACTTTCACTACTTTGTGTACCTTAGAAGTGGGAGTTCAGCCAAAGCTATCTGGAGTTTTGCCTCCTTTGTTTGAGCGTTACATCGGAAAATATGAAGGACAACGGTGTATCTGTCAAAAACTTTCACGCCCCAGGCATTTTCAAGTTCTTTCTATACAAATATAATATAAATGGAAATTTTAAATATTTCTGGAAATTTACTTGTATTCAAGCCTCTCTCTAGCTTATAATGAATGAAAGCCAAAGTGCATCAAGTGGGGATAATTCATTGTATATCATCATCATCATCATACACTTCACTCTAACCGCAAAGAAACATTTGGGTGCTTAGTTACCCCTTTTCATAAGCGCAGTATCAGATGGTAAAAAGTTAAAAAGAACACAGAAAAGTAAAATATGCCAAACTAGATCAAATAATTATAGATGCAAAGCTAAATAAAATATTTATTTACATACATGAATGTCTCCTCCTATTCTAGGCATTTGACAATAAAATATGAACCTATTGAGCATAACATTTAAAATATATTCAATAAATACAAATACATCATGTAACCTCTGAGTTAGACAAAATAATATTTTCTATTGTATTTCCCTCTCCAACCTCAAGGGCCACTGGAAAACTATGGTCTTGGCAGTCTTCCAAACTGGTAACAAGAAAGAGGCCATCTGAACCTTGTGGGGAAACTATTCTAAAGAAAATATTGCTACTGAGGAGATCTGTTTACACACTCTTCCAGAAGGTACACCATGGAGGATTTTAATCAGCCAGGCATTGATGGAAGAAAAGCTGTGCCATACAGAGCCTTTCTAGGAAATTCCTGACTTGTCTTGCAGACAGCTTTTCTTTTGGATGAAGGAAATGCTGGTGGAGCAAGATGTAAGAGGATCTGCTGCCTTTGACGTGATAACAACAGAAAGCTGTAGGATTTTTTCCCCTTGGTTGATTTAAATTGTTATTATATTTGACTTGGCAGAAAATAGTACCAGGATGAAATCTGCTCTCTCTATTGGTAATCTCAATCATGGGAGTAATATAAATACTTGAACCAAAACCTCTAAACTTCCAAAATCTTAAGTAAGCTTCCTTAATAGCTTGCTTAAGCATTTATAGATGCTGGCTCACAAGTTATCTGAAATCAGCACTCTTAAATGAGAATTAGAATGTAACCAACCACAAAAACTAACTAGTGCTGATTTCAATGTTATTATCCTGTTTATTTCACTATAAGCAGAAAACATGAGCCATGTTATGGTTGGCATTTGGCATCAATAGTGATCAGGCAGGTTGTTATAAAGATGATGCTATCCAGTCAATCATATTGATTCTTGACAATTCTATGGACCAGGCCTCTTCACATTTTCCAATCTTGTATGGCTTCTTTCAGTTGCTTAATGCTATGGCTGGTGTCAAAATTACTGGAATCATGCACACCATATTTGTATAAAAATTGCAAAGAGTTGAATTAAAAGAATAGATATTTTCAAACTAAAATGTACTTACTTTAGTTACAGGAGAGAGCATTTCTACATTTACGAAGACAGATGATAAAAAAGGCAATCTTTTTATTTTTTCTAAAAGGAAATGATTAAGATAATTATATTTGGAAAGTAAAACTCTAATTATTTTTGTTTTTAGGAAGTGAAATAATATTGAAACACTACAATTATTCAGTCAGAATCATGTTTCAAATATTTATGAATCAAATCTCTGGTAGCTTAAGCAAGGTATAGCATCACTCACGTTAAAAAAAATAAGATATACAATCTGCACTATTTCTAATTTATCTGAAATTAAAGACATTTAAAATATGACAATCTACTGTATTTTCATTGCAAACAAGGATTTGGCTCAAGTTTCATACAAATAGAAATATTCATAGGAACTTAATTATAAGCATTACAGGTACATTAAAAAAAACAGTGAATTTGGCCTCAGAACCCTGCATTAAGAAAAGTTTTAAGATACATTCTTACCAGTTAGAAGTTGAAAATTTCCTTTGTGAAAGATAAATTTCTTGTCAGGAATTTGTATAGGCAGAATAATTTTATCTATCACAGTCCAGTTTTGAAGAGTATTTATTAGAGCAACAGCTTCAGCTAGCTGCAATTCAGCTATAATATTGGGGAAAAAATTAATTGTAACGATAATCACACATCACATACTTCTAACATTATCTGAACTGCATTAAAATGGATGTAATGATACTTTGGAATATTTCTTTGAAATTAAAGGGAAGTACTACAGCAATACAGAATTTCATTAGCAGGCTTTCCGTATATCAATAACACAACCTTCAGTAAAATGTCAATGCATTCAAGTTTGAATACATTAAATAATAAAACACAAATTGGATCAAACAGTGGTTCTCTATCTTTTCCTTCATAAGCACTCTAACAGCAACAAAGATTTCTAAGAACCACCATATAAACCAGTTTGGCAATATGGCATATGATTCCCCAAGATGATGCCCATGGAACACTAACATTCAATAAAAATGGCTACATTTAAAAAAATTAAATAGCTGAAATCACAAATCACCAATTTTCATGAATGTTTGATGTTCCTGTTTAGAATCTTATAATAGTAGCAAAAAATAAAAATCCCAAATCTTTTAAAATATGATATTTCAATATTTTGCCCCCTTTTTAAAAATATGCATATTTAGGCACCAATGCTAACCACCTGTAGTAATCTTTAAAAATAAATATTGTTTTGAAATGACAAAGTGTATTTATTTTTGGCCTGTCCTTTGTAGAGTAGCTGAGAATGAACACATTTGGATTTGATTAATGTTAAAAAATAGCTTCTGCTTTATCCATTTTGAAGAATTTGGGACAAAAGAAACTATGTCCTTTCCCCAAAGACCATCAAGTATGATTAAAGTGCAAATTTAATATGATAATTAAATCACAACAGGAGAATTATGATAACTAGATTTTACTTAAATGTTAACATAAATGAAAGCTTCTTTGATATCCTTTTTCAGTATTGAGAGATCAATATCAATCTACTGCAAAAATTGTGAATGATCACTAGAAAGTATACTGTCTTTTAGGCATCCTCTGGATTTCTGCATCTCAGAGTGCATAGTCCTACTTTTGGTGTTCCTTGAAATTGCCTCATTTTCTAAACCAGAGGTACAAAAAACCTATAATATGCATAAAAACACTGCAAATAGTAACATCATCTTTCCAGTACTGGAAATATTATGCATGCAACTTTAGAAAAAACCCTCATTATGAGAAAAGCTGCAACTTTTACTAAAAAACGTTCTGACTGAAAGCTTGTGCTGACCAATTGGCCCCCATCTTTAATAAATCACTAGAGATGTGCTATGTTCCTTCTTGCTTCAAATGCTCTACTATCATCCCAATGCCAAAGAAACTCTCCATGAAAGAACTGAATGACTACAGACTGGTTGCTCTGACATCTGTAGTTATTAAAACTTTTGAAAGATTAGTGCTGGCCCACCTGAAAACCATCACGGATCCACAGTTAGACCCCCCTGGAATTTGCCTACCAAGCAAATAGATCGGCAGATACCTGTACAATTAGCACAGGGTCCCCCTAGGGCTGTGTGCTCTCGCCACTTCTCTCTCTATACCAATGACTGCATCTCAAAAGATCCCTCTATTAAAGTACTGAAGTTTGGAGATGATACAACAGTGATTGGTCTCGTTCAAGACAAAGACAAATCCGAGGTTGGTGCGGCCAGAACAATCTTGAACTGAACACATTCAAAACTGTAGAAATGATAGTAGATGTTAGGAGAAACCCTACTATTCTACCACCTCTTACAATACTAGACAACACAGTATCAACAGTAGAGACCTTCAAGTTTCTAGGTTCTATATTAATATCTCAAGATTTAAAATGGACACCTAACATCAAAATTGTCATCAAAAAAAGCACAACAAAGTATGTTCTTCCTGCACCAACTTAGAAAGCTCAGACTGCCCAAGGAGCTGCTGATAAGTTCTACAAAGGAATTATTGAGTCTGTCATTTGCACCTCTATAACTGTCTGGTTTAGAACTGGAACCAAACAAGACTGACACAAACTTCAACGGATAGTTAGAACTGCAGAAAAAACAATTGCTACCAGCCTGCCTTCCATTGAGGACCTGTATACTGCACGAGCAAGAAAGAGGGCTGTGAAAATGTCTACAGACCCCTCACATCCTGGACATAAATTGTTTTAACTTTTTCCCTCAAGGTCACGCTATAGGGCATTGCACACCAAAACGACTAGACACAATGAGTTTCCCCCCTCATGCCGTCACTCTGCTAAAGAACTAATTCCTACAGTACTGTCAAACTACTTAGCAAAGCTGTATTACTAGTATTTTCTTCATCTTTCCTATTACCTATCCTTATCTTATGACTATAACTTTGATTGTATCTTACAATTTATATTGTTTTATTTAGTATCCTAGTATGATTGTTTGCTTAGCTAGTATCCTATGACTATCACTAAGTGTTGCAACTTATGATTTATGATGTGTTATATTTTATGATTTATGATGAATGTATTTTTATGTTGATTATGATCATGATTTATCACTGTTGCTTTTATGTACACTGAGAGCTTATGCAATGGAGATAAATTCCTTGTGTGTCCAACCACACTTGGCCAATACAGAATCCCATCCTATCCTATCCTATCTGCAGTTTATGAAATCCCTTAGTAGCGGGCTCTAGCTTCTGAGACGTTCTCAGCATTTGCACAGCATCCTAATGCACCAAGCGCGGTTCATGCACGCAGCCAGACTGAGATGCATTTCGGTTGGCCACTCTATGCAGTCACGGCGACAAACTTGATCACACCTGTGGTCAACTTCGGCTTGTCTGGTCCCCATTTCACAGCCGGGTGTACAATGAACACTCTTTGGGTCTCCAACGTGATAAACGGTAATCTCGACTCCTCCAACAGCTTCTCTTCTACGACCAGATCATCGTCGTCGTCGTCGTCGTCGTTAACGAGGTCCCCCTCCTCGTTGTCTTCCGTCCCCCAGGAAAACAGCGTCCCAGCCCCACTCTTTCTTGGAGAAGGTCCATTGCCGGATGTCGGCTGGCGATAATTGGCAGCAGAGTTATGCCAAAGCCTAACGGGATTACGCCACAGACAGCAAGCTGGCAGTAGACGAACCTCTGGGCGTAATTTCTGAACCAAGCATTGCAATTGCCGCCACCGGGAACCCATAACAACCATTACGTGCAACACTCATAACATTCCCCAAGAGGCTCTACCTCAGTTTCGAACAAGATCTGTACGGAACGGAAGTGCCTTCTTTGTTGACCCCACCGGTTGGTGCAGCACGCCTAGAAACCCCGCCCCTCTCCGCCCTTCTTCCCCTCCCGGCGAAAGAAAAAAACAACAACCGAGGGGCGGGGTTTGAAAAAAGCCTCTTCCTTCCAGATAACGAGCCGATAATTTCTTCCGGGCGGCTGTCACATTCATTTTTCATTGGGTGGTTCGAGGCACGTGAAGGGAGAACTACTGGAGGAGGGCGGGAGTTGGCCCTAGCTCTGAGCCCGGGGTTGAATCAGCGGCAGGAAAGCGACTACCCAGACTGACGCTCTGGGACCGCCCTGCTTCGTTCTGGTCCGAATCGGGTCCTTTTCTGGACCGGCGCAGCCCGCTGGGTAGGGGGCGCGCGCGGGTCCCTGTCCGGGCGCAGGGCTGGGCTTGGGGTGAGGTGAACCGGCCGTGGACCGAGCTTTGCTTCTCCCAGAGGTTGATTCCCGCGGGCGTCCCGTCCCCTTCAGCTTTCCTCCCTCGGTGTCTATCTGTAGTTGTTTCGGCACCCTCCTTTACACTGGCTTTAATATCTCGTAATGGTATAGGGCAGGGGTAGGCAACCTTGGCTCTTTTATGACTCGTGGACTTCAACTCTCAGAATTCTGGGAGTTGAAGTCCACGAGTCATAAAAGAGTCAAGGTTGCCTACTCCTGGTATAGGGTCTCCTGCTTGGACTAGAAGACTTCAAGGGCCCTTCCGGCTCTATTCTGATTGATTTATAGCCCCCCTTCTCTCTCAGATGATGGTCCCCCCCCTTCAAGCCTTTTTCTCTTGCAACCCAAAAACTTCCATGGCTGAGGCTTTGTTTATTTCCCGTTCACGGTCTTATCCCCCACCTGTGAGTTCTTTGCGCTCAAAGCTTAAAGCTGTCGATAGCGTCTTTGTAATTTGGGAGATTTTTTTTTTGCATCCGACTTTATTTGACAGGGCAGGGTAGACGCCCTGTATATTGCTGCCATATTTGTATGTTTGTCTTTTATTTGATTTCCATTTATTGTAATATGAAATGTCTCCTTTCTTGCACTGTGCACTATACTTTGTACAGCTTTGCACGCAGTTAAGGACGTTATTTTCATGTTATACAGTTTTATATGTTCTATTGCATCATAACGAAGTAATGACCTAAACTTCAGAGGAAAGGAGGTACAGAAAGAGCTTCCTATCTGTCAGATCTTAGAATACTGTATAGTGTACAATCCATGTTATCTATGTCATGTCACCACATAAAGAATTTTACATCATTTCTACACTCCCCCTATCTTAGAACGGAAAATTTCTCTATTTTTATGGTGTGTGCCCTATATGGCATAGTTTCTATATTTATAATCATCTAAAATGCCAAATGCAAAGGTTCGGTTGGGAATTCAGTTCCCAATAGAGGGTTGACATCTGGTTACCTGTATTTTGATGATTCACAATATCGATGAAATTGGTAACAAGGCACCTCCTGGTTGTAACTGTAACTGTGTGTAAGAATATTTCATCAAGAACAAGTTGTTAGGATGATCGTGATAAGAGATTTCTAATAGATATTCACTTAAGACAGAGGAAAAAAACCATTCAGACCAACATTCTGCAGATTTAGTTTTCCTTTCTGAGAGTATGATATCCAGTGATATCCTAATTCTAAACCACTTGGAAGCATATTTTAGCTATTGGTGGTACTAACAGTTGTTATATTGGTTATATTGGTTCTCTCTGAGTGTTGAGACATTCTGAAAATACTTTACCATTAAGAATAGTACATTCAGTGAAGGTATGTTTTCTTTGTCCTGAACATATTATCAAAATAAATGATCAAAATAAAATGAAAGGTAGAGGAATAAAAACTTTTGTTCGTACCATTAGTCTTCTTTTTCCCAAAACTCCAAATATTTTAGACTTTATTCATATGGGAGGTGTTGGATGGTTAGCTTCCTTAGATATAATAAACATATATACATATACATAAAATAATATGAAAAGCGTTCCAACTCTTATTTGGTCATTGTTTCCTAAATATTGGCCACATTTATATAGGGTGGAATGGAATATAATATTCCAAATATTGCTGTAGATTTATATACCATATTGATATGGCTTATGTTCTAGATTTAATCCTTTTCTAGTTCTAAATATTGTTTTATAACAATATTTAACATGAATTTCCTTTTTATTCTGGAGAATACAAAAACTAATTTAGGTAATTTATTCCTTGACTAGTTTATTAGCAAAGCATACCTTGGTTTTTTATTTTTCCATCATTTTTTAACTTGGCAAAAAAACCTGCCTTTGTATCCCTTGTACAAACTTTCCATTGTTGTAGGAAACTGTTTTTTCCTTTTATAGTTTCATTGATTGTGCCTGTTAAACACACTGGGAGGCATTCATACCTACTGGTGCCTTTCCTAAAATGTATAGCTCCTTCTGGCACAGCATCTATTATTATGGTTTTAAGTAAACTTAACAGATTTTCTTAAAAGACTTCATCTCTTAGAATCCTCATTGCAAGGTTGTTTTAATAATCCTATTTCCATTTTGAAAACCATTGTTAAATGTGATTGGATAGAACTTTTAGGACCACTTTTTATGTCACATTTTATTACACTGTTGTCATTATTTCAGTGGGGCTTACACTTCATCCCATTGTACCACTTTTAGGATATGGCAACATCCGAGTACCACCAGTCGCCTAGCAAGGTGTCAAAAACTTGATGACTAAAAAAAAAAAAAAAAGGAAAAAAGTGATAAAGTACAGGTAGTCCTCAACTTACAACAGTTTGCTTAGTGACTGTTCGAAGTTACAATGGCACTGAAAAAGTGCCCCCCATGGCACAGCCAAGCAAGACACCTGTCTGCCCGCCCGGCCGTGCTCTTCCTCCTCTCTGAGGTTTCCATTGTTGTCAGCAGTTCTTTTGAGGATTGGCAGCGGGAGTGGGGTGGGGGTGTTTGGTTTTTATTCCCCCCATCTGCTGGGTGGTTGCAGCAGGTTTTGGTCACTTCACATGACACTGTGACCATCATAAATATGAATCAGTTGCCAAGCATCTGAATGTAAATCACAAGACCCTGGGGATGCTGCAACATTCCAGCTGATCGGCGCTTCTTCTGGGCTCAGCAGAAGCGCCAGGATCAGTGCAGAGCTCCAGCTGGAGCCTGGCGCTGATCCTGGCGCTTCCACTGAGCCCTGACAGCCCTGAAGAAGCGCTGATCAGCTGGAAAGCGGCACTGATCTTGGTGATTCCACTGAGCCCTGACAGCCCTGCAGCTCCAGCCGTCTCTTGCTCAGGCTTGTGCGGTGCTGCCACCGGTTCAGCTCATTCCCCTCCCCCGCTACCACTTTTCTAGGATGGTCGCGTACCACCTGCCAGGTGCCAATGTACCACAGGTGGTACCCGTACCACTGGTTGAAAAGCCCTGATCTAGAATAGTGCTTAAAACTGTCACCTTTCCAGTTTTTTAAAGTCTCCAGATTGGTTTACCTAAAATGCTCAATATTTACATGATAATTTTGATTTTATTAATGAATTCTCAAGAAGGCTTACTTAATAAAATATGGCAGCATCAGTATTCCCCAGTACCTTAAAACTACTTATTTTGGAATACCTGTTACAAAGTCCAAACATTTTCTTCATGGTTGTCTTGACCTCTGACCTTGTAGTACATGTTAGTTAATATAGGTAGTCCTCGAGTTACGAGTGTAATGGAGCCTGCACATTCCATTCATAACTCAAAAACTTGGAGTGAATCTCCTACCTCAAACGAGATCACTCCCTTGCTCGTTAAGATGCACACGGTTTTTTAAGTGCACATGAGTATCTCAGGTTGGGGAAGGCCATGTGGGACCTAGTGATGGAACAGGCCCCCAAGGCCTCCCTGACCCACTAAGATACCTCATGCTTCCCCCTAATTCCCTGCCGCGCCGGACTCACTTACCTTGCAAAAATCCTCTCTGCTGCAGTTTCTTTCCCTTTGAGGGAGAGGAGAGTTGGCTTGGAAATGCTTTTTGCACCAACAATGGAAGCTTCTGGGTGCTGTAATATCGCATGAGTTCAAAAGAGATCATGGCCCCGAGAACCTTCCATTCTGGGGGAGAGTGTTTGCTTTGTTTGCTTTGCCTATGAGGCAAAGCATGGAATTGGAGACAGCCAGGCACAGGAACCAATGCCCGGGTGTGCTTCTTGGTCACGTGTGCTGGCCTTAGTTTGAGGGCAGGAACAAAGTCTTCAACTAAGCAGGAAGGCATCGCGGGGTGAGTCACCTTGCATCTGTCCAAGCTGCTGGTGACGGCGGCAGCCACCTGAGCAGCCACTATCTCCCCTTCGCAGCCAGCCACCCAGCCTGCCCAACCTACTCCTGGCCTGACCGGCTGTTAGGCCAAATCCTGACCACTCCTCTCCTTCTTGTCCTCCCAACTCAAGGTGCGACAGCAGCTTGAGTTTCTCTGCTCCATCCTTAAGGAAGAAACTGGAGGCGCAGAGCAGGATTGCTCTCAAGAAGATGCAGGTGCGCTCTCGCTCGTGTGCGCTGGCCTTGTTGAGATCAATCCTGCTCTGCGCCTCTGGTTTCTTCCTTTTGGATGGAGCAGAGAAACTCAAGCCACTGCCACTCAAACACTTATTATCTGAACAGAGACCTTGGGGAGATGGGGAGCGTCTTCTGTGTGTGAATGCAATGCTTGAAAATGCAGCGAATTGACTTCCGGTGGGACGGCGCGCCGATGGCGGCTCTTTTGGAGCCATCCGCTTGGGAAGGCGTCAGAGCCAGCCTGAACAGCGGACATCAGCTGTTCAGCGGCTTGGAACCTTGTGCCCCGGGCGAAGGGGTCGAGGTGAGTACTCCCGGATAGGAGTAGAGCCCCAAAAGCTCTCCCTTATCTCAGGGAGAGCGAAAATTGGGTGCTCCTCCGGAGTCNGTGGTGACTAGGGTCTAAGTGACTGAAAACAGGGACTGCCAATCCAGGAATGTATCAACTGGTGCACAATTCCTAGGTATATTTGGATTATGGACTGAAATCAGGATTTGCAGGTATTTACTGTATAATGACAACTAATTATTAAAGACATATACAATATTTAAAATTTATCAAGCCATCAAGAATTAAGATAGTTCTTGTGAACACATTGGCACACATTAAAAATGAATTTCTGATGCCCGCTCTCAAAAGAACATATATACCTATACACAGACATGCACACATACGGTATATGCATATGCTACACACACAGACACAGAATTATTGGTGTGTGTATGTACAAACACAATTATTAGTCATAGAAATAGCCAAATAATCATGCAACACTGAAAAGCTAAATCTGCAGCTGCTTTGAACCAATGAAATACTAAGATGTATTTTTGTGAACAT